AGAACAGGGATGAGCTCCCAGCTGAGGTCTGGGAGGTGCAGACACCCCATGTTCATCACTGGGAATAGGGATGAGCTCCAAGGTGAGGTCTGGGAGGTGCAGACACCCCATGTTCATCACTGGGAATAGGGATGAGCTCCAAGGTGAGGTCTGGGAGGTGCAGACACCCCATGTTCATCACTGGGAATAGGGATGAGCTCCCAGGTGAGGTGTGGGAGTCGGTGCTGGGATCTCTCCCAGTTTGAGATCTCTGCCATGTCCTCACCCCTGGAAGGAGGAGCCCAGGGCAGCTCCCAGGGGTGGGTATGTGGGGACAGACCCAGCTCCTCTCCCCCCCAGCCAGAGAACATCATGCTGCTGGACAAGAACGTGCCAAACCCTCGCATCAAACTCATCGACTTCGGCATCGCCCACAAGATCGAGGCTGGGAATGAATTCAAGAATATCTTTGGGACCCCGGAGTTTGTAGGTGAGACCTGGCTGGCAGCATTCCTGGGGGCTCCTCAGGGTGCTGAAAGCTTTGGATTAATCCCAGAGGGATGCCCAGTGCCACTGCTGGGGTGCATCCATGGGGACAGTTTCCCTCCCCCACAATGAGCCTGTTTTCTCCTCTCTTTTCTCCCAAAGCCCCGGAAATTGTGAATTATGAGCCCCTGGGGCTGGAGGCCGACATGTGGTGAGTGATCCCCCTCCTGAGCCCATTCCCATGGTTCCAGCAGTCGATCCCCTCGTGCCAGTGGATCTCCCCTTGTGCCAAAAGTGCGGGGAGAGGGGCCTGACAATGCTCCGAGGGGCTTCAGCCTCCTCTTCCTCTTTCTCTTCCAGGAGCATTGGGGTCATCACGTACATCCTGTGAGTACAAGGGAGGTCTGGGGGGGTTGGGGCTGCAGTGAGAGCCCCCCACCTCAAGCTGGAGCCTTTGTGGGGTGTCCCAACCCTCTCTCTCCACAGGCTGAGCGGAGCCTCCCCCTTCCTGGGGGAGACAAAGCAGGAGACCCTGACCAACATCTCTGCTGTCAACTATGATTTTGATGAGGAGTATTTCAGCAACACCAGCGAGCTGGCCAAGGACTTCATCCGCCGCCTGCTCGTCAAGGACCCCAAGTGAGGGGTGGGGAGCGGAGCTGGGGGTTCCTCTGGGAGAGGGGACGGTCCCTCCTGCCCAGCCCACTGCAAACAGGCAGCTCCCACACTCCTGCCTGCGCCGGGGTTCAGCTCTGAATCCAAAATCTCTCCCCTACATGAGGTGTGGGGTGAATTCTGGGATCCCCCGGGGGTGCAGCAGCTCTGCCGGAGCTTGGGAGGGGTCAGGGGCTGAGTTGAGCCCCCAGGGCTCTGGGGTGGTGGGACCAGTGGAGCCATGTGGTTGAACGTCGGTCTGGAGGTTCTTCTGCCTGTGTCTGAGGGGTTGGGGGCTGGATGTGGCCCCTGCCTGGGGGGGCCCTGAGTGCAGCAAGTTTGTCCAAGGCTCATCCAGACCCCAAAGGTGATCACAGGACCCGAGCTGCACTTCCAGGGCTTTAGCAGGGAAAGGGAGCCGAGCCCCCGCCCCTGATCACAGCCTTGCTGTGTTTGCAGGAAGCGAATGACCATCGCCCAGAGCCTGGAGCACCCTTGGATTAAGGTGAGAACTTAAAGAATTGTCACTTGTGGGGTGTCAGACCCCCTCAAGGTGGGGTGGGTGATGACAGCAGCTCTGTGGGGGCCAGTTTGGTGCCGCTGCCGGCGCCCCGTGGGTGGGTGCCGGGGCCACCCAGCTCCTGCTGTCCCTGCTGTGTCCCACCCCACGGCCGTCCCTCCCGCAGGTGATCAAGAGGAGGAACGTCCGGAACGAGGACAGCTGCAAGAAGCCCGAGCGGCGCCGGCTGAAGACCACGCGCCTCAAGGAGTACACCATCAAGTCCCACTCCAGCATGCCCCCCAACAACACCTACATCAACTTCGAGCGCTTCTCCAAGGTCATGGAGGAGGTGGCCGCGGCCGAGGAGACCCTGCGGGAGCTGGAGAGGAACAAGAAGTCCTTCCAGGAGGACATCGAGGCGCTGCGCTCCATCTACGAGGAGAAGGAGTCGTGGTACAAGGAGGAGAACGAGAGCATCAGCCAGGACCTGCGGCAGATCCGGCAGGAGCTGCAGAAGACGGAGGCGCTGAAGAAGCAGGCGCAGGAGGAGACCAAGAGCGTGGTGCAGGCGGCCAACGGCCTCAAGCGGCGCTACCGCAAGCTGGAGAACCACTACGAGGCCCTGGCCAAGCAGGTGGCCTCGGAGATGAAGTTTGTGGAGGAGCTGGTGTGGTCCATCGAGCAGGAGAAGCAGAGCGGCGACGGCGACGGCAGCATCCGCTAAGCCGGGCGGCTCCGGCCCTTCCCGACGCCCCGCTCGCCGAGGAGCCTCCGGTCGGTCAGTGTTCCCCGGCTCTGGGGGGGTGTGTGGGGGGGTTGTGCCTCCCTGGAGCCCCCACCTCGGGGGGCTGGGGCTGTGCTCCCCTGGGGTTTGGCTTCCTGCGTTGTGGCTCCTGCTTGGCTCATGGCCCCGGGCTCCTCATCACTCCCACTGTGCTTGGGGACACTTCTCGTCACTCCCACTGTGCTTGGGGACACTTCTCATCACTCCCACCACACTTGGGGACACTTCTCATCACTCCCACCACACTTGGGGACACTTCTCATCACTCCCACCGTGCTTAGGGACACTTCTCATCACTCCCACCATGCCTGGGGACACTTCTCATCACTCCCACCACACTTAGGAACACTTCTTGTCACTCCCACCGTGCTTGGGGACACTGCTCGTCACTCCCACCACACCTGGGGACACTTCTCATCACTTCCACTGTGCTTAGGGACTCCTCATCACTCCCACCACACTTAGGGACATTTCACTCCCACCACGCTTGGGGACACTTCTCATCACTCCCACTGTGCTTAGGGACACTTTTGGGACACTTCTCAACACTCCCACTGTGCTTAGGGACACTTTTGGGACACTTCTCATCACTCCCACCGTGCTTGGGGACACTTTTGGGACACTTCTCATCACTCCCACCGTGCTTGGGGACACTGCTCATCACTCCCACCGTGCTTGGGGACACTGCTCATCACTCCCTCCACACTTGGGGACACTCCTTGTCCCACGCAGGTTCTCGAGCTGCCCCAGCACCCGGGGGGAGGTTTGGTGGGCAGACCCCCCCTCTGCACTCCGGCAGCAGCCACACACGGGCCGGGACCAAAGACTGATCCCCACGTGGCCCCCTGGGTGACCCCCAAGTGACCCTTGGGTGACCCCTGTGCCCCCCGGGGTGCTGCCCCCTCTGCCCCCCAGCCCAGCCTTCACTCTGACCAGAATAAAGGTGTCTGTGTAACGGGGTGGCTGCCTGGGCTCCTGCCATGGGAGAGGGGCAGGGACGTTCTGTGGGGTGACAACCCCTCTGCTGTGCTCCCATCCCAGAGGGATTCCGAAATCTGGGAGGCAAAAGGTGGTTTTCTTGCCTTATCAGCCCCAGCAGTGGCAGGTGAGCTCACTGTGGCCGTGGAGGGGGCTCTAGGGATGGGTCCCCTCTTGCCTGGACCCCAGTGCAGGTCTGGGGTGGTCAGGGAAGGTTGAGGGATGTTTTGTGGAATTGGAGAAGGTCTGTGGGATTTGGGGCTCGGGGAAGGCCCCTGGCTGTGGGGAGGGTCCCAGGGTTTCTGTGGTGTCCCAACACTTCCTAAGGGATCTTCTTTTCCTAGGGGACCAGCCAGATCCCATTTGGCATGGGGGTGGAGTGGGTAGGGAATTATCCCCTGGGAAGGGCTGATGAGGGTTGTGCCATCACTGACAAGTGGGAAGAGCAGCCAGTGGCTGGACTGGGGGCCCAGCACGGGCCAGACCCCTCCCCTCCTGGGACAGAGGGGACAAGGTTCACAAACCTTCTGCAGGGCAGGTGCCAGAGCCTGGGAGGGGCTTTTCCTCTGGGAGGGGCTTTTCCTCTGGGAGGGGCTTTTCCTCTGGAATCACCAGGGGTTTTCCAGCTGCCCGTGGCCCCGGAGCCAAGATGCAGCTGAATTTGATCGGGGGGAATCACCAGCAAATCCTGGGGATGGCTGGCAGGCGTCCCCCTGGCTGGCCACGCTGGGCCGGGGGGGCTGTGGTGGCTTCACCCCCGGCTCAGCTCCGGGCCCAGGGGCTTTGCTCCATTTAGGATTTGTTTGTCGCTCCCTGGGGGTCTGGAGGGGCCGTGTCCCGTGTCCCTGTCCCTTGCTGACGTCCCCACGGGTGTAGGTTTCATCCCAACCCGTGGGCCACGTGGACCTGCTGGGAATTTGATCCGCCCTGGTTTTCCGTGCCAAGGCACTCGGCTCCCAGGGCTGACGCCTGACCGGGGCTGTCCCGGTGTCCCAGGGCTGTGCCACGTCCCTGGGCACGCATCCCCTGGGCTGGAGCAGGGATCTGACCGTGGTGGGCAACACCAGAGCCTGCCTGGGGGCTTGGAATCACCACCTTCCCTCCGGATGCTGCATCCCAGGGCTCCGGGGGAGACTTCGGGGTGTGGATTCAGCCGGAGCCGCGGCCATTTGATCCGCTGGCAGGGAGCTGCTCCCTCCGTCACCGGGGTGAGAGGATGTATGGAAGTCCTGTAGCACCGCCTGTTCCCGACCCTGCAAAGTTCACGTAGTGCGAAGGCTTCCCGGATTCCCCTCGTGCCGAGGGGTTTGGTTTCACGCTCCCAAAAAACTCTTGGAAGTCACCGGTCATTCAGCCCGGCCGGGAGGTGCCCTGCCCTGGAGAGGGAGCAGCAAGGGGAGGGGTCTCAGCCAGGGAGATGCACAAAAAAACCCACTAAATTTTTAATTTGGGGTGTTCTGGTGCTGCCACAGCTGCAGAAAGAGGGAAAAGAGGGATTTGCTGGGGAGAAGGTGAAATACTGCCAGGAAGCTGGGAGTTCCAGTGGGATGGGAGGAGGCTGAGGGAGCTGGGGGGGCTCAGCCTGGAGAAAAGGAGGCTCAGGGGGGACCTTCTGGCTCTGCAACCCCCTGACAGGAGGGGGGAGCCCTGCTGGGCTCTGCTCCCAGGGAACAAGGGGCAGGACGAGAGGAAACAGCCTCAATCTGTGCCAGGGGAGGTTTAGGTTGGATATGAGGGAAAATTTCTTCATGGAAGGGGTGATCAGGCACCGGAAAAGGATGCCCAGGGCAGTGGTGGAGTCGCCATCCCTGCAGGGATTTAAAAGCCGTGTGGATGTGGCCCTTGGGGACGTGGATTAGGGGTGGCCTTGGCAGTGCTGGGGGAACTCTTGGATTTGATGGTCTTAGAGGGCTTCTCAGGCTCAACAATTCCATGATTTCGTGATTCTGCAAATATTAAACCCCTCAGGAAGTGGTGTCGTGCTCGGAGCTGAGGGGATGTGCTGCTCCCGTGAGATTCCGGTGCTGTGGCATCCCAGGATGTTCCGCCTCCATTCCCCTCCTTGCAGCCAGAGCTGACACCACCCTGGGATGTTTCATCCTCTGTGATCAGACAATACCAAAATGCCTTTTTTAGGCTGTAATTCCCTCTTCCCAGAGCCTGGTGGGAGGCGGGAGCGAGGCTTTTTTTTTCCCTTATAAGTCTTCCCAAAATCCAAACGGTCCCGCTCGGCTTCAACCAACCCGTGAACACGCAGGAAACCCCCCCCAGAAACTCCGAGCTGCATCCCCCTGGGATCTCTTTTCCTGCCAGGGAGCTGAGCTGCAGCTAATCCGTGGGAAATGCTCCGTGTGCCGATGTCCGACGGATGCAGGAACGTGGGTGACAGGTCCCGGTGTGGGTGACAGGGCGCAGCAGGGTGTCCTTGGCCGGGGTGTCCCTCTGCCCTGGAGTGGTGTAATCAGAGTGATGTGGGTCTCCCCAGGCACGCTCAGGGCTGGGAATAGCCTGGGGAATCCAGGGGGATTCCAGAGGGATCCACATCTCCCTCTGAGCACGGCATCCCCGCTCCAGAAAATAATCGGGAGTAAGACAAGGATGAGGTGGTGGATGTGGCTCCCCTGTGGCTTCTGAAAACACCCCCTGGAACAGGGTGGGGTTTTGGGTGATTCCTCACTACTCTGTGGCAGCTGCTTTTCCAGAGCGCTGTTTCTAACTCAGGCCCCAAAATCTTGGGAAGGGACCCACCAGCCACGTTATTCCAGTGGCTGTGGAGCTCATCCCACGGGAGGTTTTGTACCGACACGGCCCTGCACGTGCTCAGGGACATCATTCCCATGGCACTGCTGGTTTTAGCCACTGTATTCCCAGAGAATCAGCACATTTTGGGGTGCTCCATCTCACCCCAGTGTTAATTAACCTGCTCAGCTAATTAGAGTGGTGTGGACTGTCAGAGTGAGCCAAGGACACCCCAGGGCTGCCCTGGAGTTGTCCCCTAAGGCTCAGGAGCGATCCCGCCTGGAATGGGCTCACCCAGGCCCTGGCCGTGTGTGTCCATGGTTTAAACACGTCCCCCTCCCCTCCTGTGGGATCCAAGAGGTCTCCAGCACCCACCAGGTGTCCAGAGGAGGGATCCCAGGCTGGAAGTCACATCCACAGGGAGTTAAGGATGGATCAATCAGCAAACAAACCCCGAGGGGGTCTCAGTGCTGCTCCTTTCAAACTGAAATTCGGGTGGTGGTTTAGTGTGAACTCCTGAAATGTCTCCTAAGGGAGCACAGTTCTGAGTTCTCATCCCCTGAGAAATCCCACCGGCTCTCCTGAAATTCCCAAGGCCATTCCCACCTCACTGGGGGCCCGTCGGGAGCCCCCAGACCCAACCAGGGCCATTCCCACCTCACTGGGGGCCCGTTGGGAGCCCCCAACCCAACCAGGGCCATTCCCACCTCGCTGGGGGCCCGTTGGGAGCCCCCAAACCCAACCAGGGCCATTCCCACCTCGCTGGGGGCCTGTTGGGAGCCCCCAAACCCAACCAGGGCCATTCCCACCTCGCTGGGGGCCTGTTGGGAGCCCCCAAACCCAACCAGGGCCATTCCCACCTCGCTGGGGGCCTGTTGGGAGCCCCCAAACCCAACCAGCGA